ATTATCAACATACTATTTGTATAATTTTAAAATAAACTCTGTTCCCGGTTATCTGCTGTGGATCACGTGACTCTCAGTGTTGCATTTTTCTGTCAGAAAAAACTTTGGAAAACGGACGTTCGTTCAAAAACCTGATTTAATGAATCTCGATCCTATAACAGCATACATATAATTTGAAAATGATTTTGCAGCAACAGTGATAAAATATGTTTTGTTACTCCCACCTGTTTTAAGAGAAACGCAGACATATTGTTACCACGTCACTTCCACATCAGCGGGCATATTTCCGACAGTCCGTGAACGCCTCACAGGTCCTGCTCGGTCAGTCCCAGCGGATCAGATCAGTTCTGTTATCTGCAGACAACAAACCATCTGATGTGCTTCTCAGAAGATGGACGCGCTGTCGTGACGCTGTTGACAACAAGTTTAATGAACCTCAAATGTTTGTACTTTRCGTCCTGTAAAAGTTTGTAAACTGGAAGTTTAGAAAGGTTTTGAGGAGAGTTTCAGGAAAAGGGAAGAAGGGTTGTGTTGGAAACGGTGTAAAAATGTCGGAACCAGAGAAGAACATTCCTGAAGCGTCTGCAGGAAAACAGGTTCTGAACGGAGGAACTGCAGCCAAAACCAAAGAGGTGAGAAGGATGACCCACGAGCCTGCAGCTCTGTAGGTTTTTCTCATGAAGTTTGATGTTAGCAGACATTTTCTCTGCTTTTCCCCACATGACCGCAGTAAAATGCTGGACTCTTGTCCCTTCAGCCTCATAAAACTAAAACAAGAAATGCTGGGATCAGACCCTCACCGAGTTTATGGTTTAAATTTAGATTTTTGTAAGATTGCAGCTTTTTCACTCTTTAAATGTTTGCATTGAAACTTTATCATCCATCAACGTTTTATCATAAAACCAAGCATTAATTTGGTAAATGGACTGTACTTTTATTTAATTTCCATTTCATTTATTGTTTATTTGAATAGGGACAAGTTTCAAGTTCAAGTTTATTTATAAATCTCCAAGTCCCAACATACGTTGTCTCAGGACACTGTAGATAAAAAGAACAATGTAAAGAATTTAGCAGCAGATTGTGTTGAATCACTTCATCACAGTCTCCCATCCTGAGCAAACGGTGGAGAGGAAAAACTCCCTGCTAATCAGGAAGAAAGCTCCAGCAGAACCAGGCTCAGGACAGGAGACCATCTGCCTCGACCGGCTGCTTGGAGGACAGGAAATGGGTCTTGTGCTTCATACAATGACAATAAAGAAATAATCAAAATGG